GATGCGGAGGTCACCTTCTTTATAGTCATCTAGAAGCTGGTACATGTACAAGACAGGATCTTTCTCGTAGGTAATATAAAACCAGGCTTTCATGATAGGTGCTTGGGCTAGAACCATCCCCCTCCATTCATCCTTGGTGCCATGCTCGCCCTCAAACATATGTTCCACTGCTTTGCCAATGATGGTGTTTGCAAGGCTGGCGTCACTAACTTGTGATGATGCCACCTTGTTGGAAAGAATTTTAAGAGACAAAACTCTTTCATCTCTGTGAAGTTCCAATCCATAGACACAGTCAATTCCATCATATTTCACCAGGTAAAGAGAGGGATTTATGGGCACCTGATCCAGAACGGTTCCTTTCCACTGGGTGATGGGCTCATCGCCTTCCTTCCATCCGTGAGAAATTCTGCAGCCCACGATGTTTCTGCGGGGCTGGGATGAAGGTCTGCCCCTCTGCTTCTTCTGGGAAGCTTTCTTCTTGGTGAAGTGTGCAGACCCAGTGGCCCGTCCTGCAGCTGATCTGGTGTGTTGTCCTTCTCCCTCCTGTGTGTTGGGGGTCTTCATGCCTGCAAAGACAGGGAGAGAGGATACAGACAAATACTCAGCATGCCTAAGGTGAACTTCCCCCTGTAGTGATGTCTCTGTGTACACTTGTGCTGGAGCCTAATACTGTTTTTTCCTTGGAGCCTGCCAGCAATGCTAGATATACTGGCTGCTGCCTGCAGTTTCTTCTCTCTCTCTCTTTCTCTCTCTCTCTCTCTCTCTCTCTCTCTCTCTCTCTCTCTCTCTGTCTGTCTCTCTATCTCCCTTCCTCCCTCCATCCCTCCCTCCCTCTGTCCCTTCCTCTGTCTAGTACCCCCTTCAAGCTGTAGGAAAAGGCTGGAGTGGAGGTGGTGCTGACTGGGATTAGGATCTCTGCAGAAGAAGAAAGGTAAACTCCTATTTTCTCAGTATCCCACTGCCTCTCCGGATGTGCCTCTGGAGCCCAGATCCTCTGCAAAGCGTCTATCTCTTCACCTGGTCAAAGCCCCACTGTCCTGCGTGAGTGCCCCAGATGGCTCACATGACCCCCACTCATTCCTGCTGCCTCTCTGGTGCCCACCTCCCTTGCTTCCCTGTGCTCATTTCCAAATCCTTGCTTGGTTTCTAAAGCCACTCCCTTTCCTGTTGCCAGCAGCACTCCCCCACCCCACACAAGTCTGGCGCCCACCTCTACCCCTCATCTCCTGCCTGTTTCCAGCCCATCCCCCATCTTCTTCCTGGTCCCCACCAATGGTCTTGCCCTGCTGGGTGTCCACCGCGGGGTTCGCGAGCCTCAAGTGCCCAAATCAGACACCTTGCTGCTGCCTCTGCTAAGAGCCTGTTGCGAAGGAGGATCAGCGGGCTACTATCCAGCAGAATGTGTGCTTGCCAGAGCTGAGAGGGAAGGATTCTTAGGCGAGGAGAGGGTCTAGAAGGACGGCGGGGCTGGGTAAGAGAGGCTGATTCCCTGGTGCTAAGCTTGTGGGGGCCTCCTTCTTCCTCTTGGTGGCGGCGGCCCTTCTGCCACCTTGGGCTTCCACTAGCCTCTGCTGTCGCCGCCGCAGTCTCCTCCCTCTTCCCGTAGCGCAGCTTCCTGCCAGTAGAGAGGCCTCCCCTTCCTGCCAAACACACCCACCCCCGCTGCAGTTCCTTTACCCACCCGTGCTGGGATGCCTGAAGGAACAATTAGACCTGGCTCCACCTCTTTCCAAAACCTTTTTCAGCGTAGCCCATTACTTGCCTGTTAAGGTTTAGCCGCCCGCCGTTTCTATCTGACAGCCCCTTGGTTCTTAATTCCACCTCCACTTCTGCCATGTCAGGGCAGTTTCCCGTATGCTTTCTATCTTCCAAGAATTCGTCTTTTCTCTTTTTAGTAATGCGCTCGTGGAGTTAATCTTTATACTTAAATTACCTTTCCTGATCTCTTAAAAGGGCTTCTGAAAGAAATCCGCTAGTGTTTAGTCTGCCTTTTTGACCTAGTTTCTACCTAATTTTTCTTCAGTGGACTGTCCTGTCCTGTTTTGGATATTTTTCTTCTTTTTCCCTTTTACTTTTTAATTTTTTTCCTCTGTTAAAAATCAATCAAATGCACAATGTGAACACTTTTAAAATTTCAGGAAGTTGATATAGAAAAGAGCATAATCAGCTTCGCTACCTTTCAACCTTTTCACTCCCCTCACCTCAGAACAAAACATTAACATCCATTTTTTCTTTTCCCTTTTTCTAATCTTTTAAAAAACTAAGACCATCTTTCTCATGTAGTTTTTTTACCATGCCCTATTCCAGGTAGGAAAAAAATTTTTTTCATGACATTAGATATTTCTTAAAGTCATTCCTTTTTTTTCATTGTGCAAATATTTATTGAGCACCTGTTACCTGTTTTATATCCTTAGGTCTATAAAATTCAGTTTTACCATAATTCATAATTTTATTTCTCTCACATTACTTGATATTTGGGAGAATATTTCCAAAACAACATATTATTATTTGATCTGTTTAATGTGAACCTTTGGAGAAAGAACTTTATAAGAAATATTTAGGAAAAATAGTTTTATAAACCTGGAGAAAAATAGCATATTCTTTAAGGAATATTGGAATAATTTCTTAAAATATTTTGGGAAAATGTGTACTAAATTTCTGCCCTTATCACTATTTGATTTATTAAAATGTAAAGTAGAGCAAAATAAAATAAAACCAAAGGTAAAGAAGCAACAAGAAACCCTGTATCATATGAATGTTTAATAGATATTATAGAATCTGAATCAAAGATAACTTGAAAGTTGACAGAATAACTAGGTGTAGGAATTTCTTGGGATATAAGATCAGTAGTAATTTTGTCTTAATATAGTATGTAAGTCTTATAATATTACTTTCAGTGACATTAAGCATAAGAAAAGAGGTTTACATCTAGTGGTAATGTAAATAAATATTTATGCAATTTTTATGGGAAGCAATGAGCAGATCTGCTGCAGTTCCTGGGAAAGTTTGTCAAATCATGGTTGATCCTTACTCCTGGGATATTATCCTGGAAATCCTAATCAAAACTAAAGGGGTGGGGCTGGGGATTTAGCTCAGCGGCAAAAGCGCCTGCCTGGCAAGCGCAAGGTCGTGAGTTCGGTTCCCGGTACCGGAGAAAAACCAAAAAAAAAAAAAAAAAAAAAAAGTAAAGGGGTTTACCAGGGCCATAGGCTGCAATTACTGTATTGGTAGCTTGAAAAAGCATTCAGAAGGTCTGCTGAACTTCTAAGTCTTTCAGAAGTTCTCTGTAGAATAAATAAAGTTTCCTAGTAAAAAAAAACACCATCCACTGAATTCCATGTTTGCTTCTTACAGATGTTTTCCCTTTATCTTGGATTAATAATTATCCTCTGTCTTCTCGGATTTTAAATGCCCTTGAGCTGATTTTTTGAGAGATTTTAAAAATATTTCTGTCCAGAATTTATAGTTTTCTTAACAGGAAAATTGTTTTGAATTTCTTAGTCTTCTATTATGAAAACCTCCAGTTCCACTGCTTCATATTAAATATGTATGGTTATAGCCAAGTTGCTTACACTGAATTTATATAACTAACTGTTGGCCTGATATACCTCAGTAATGAGGTTTAAAATGTTTTAAGTACTTTCAACTATTTAGAATTCCTCCAAACCAAAAATCACCCAAATTTCCATCAACAGTATGTTGGATATGTTGTTAGATACTTATATTGGAATATCACACAGAAGTGAGAAGGACTACATTACAACGTACAGCATGAGTCTCACAAATACATTGAACAACAAATTCAGAAAACAAAAGGAGACACTATGATTTTTTAAAAATTAAAACAGCCTAATTAATCTACTGCCTTGGCAGATAAAATAGTATTTGTTCCTGCAAGGATATTTTCCAAATAAATGTTAACAATTCATATTCTACAAACAGTTCACAAAATTAAACATAGAAGACAATTTTGAAAGTGTATAAGGCAGGAAGGTTATAGAGATGCTGAGCTACAAAATCTATTGACTTGTAATAGATATCAGTTGATATTGCGCTAAACCTCCAATCACACTTCTGGTAATAATGCCAGAAATTTCCTCTGAAGAACAACCTAAGCCTCACTAATCAGAGCACAGAATAAGTTACAGTGATTGGTTTAGGTAGAGTCAATCAATTTAGAGTTAACAAGGCATGATTATATTTTGCATGAAATATGAAACTCCTGGGCATGAAATAGGTGATCTCTCCCATTGGATGTGAGTGAACCTGAGAAGAGATGAGAATTAAGTTGCTCTAATCACTTTACCATCATTTGAAGACTGAGAACAAAAGCACCACAGAGAAAAGAATGGAGGGAAGCTAAACAAAAGAGGGAGACTGTCCTACTGACACATTGTGTACTATTAAAATCATGGTCACTAACTTATATTGCTTCTAATTTTAAAAACAAGTGTAGATTCCTCAGGGTGATGCTATTTCTTCCACAAGTGTTTTACTTAACATCAGACATATGATCTAATATGGACCTATTAGAGATGACATAGAAAAGAGTTTGTAGGAGGACTTCTAATAACATTTCTTTACTTCTAAGAATGAGAAACCGAGAAATTTCATTTTTCTTTTCACAATGATTCTATGTTTGCGTATGACCCCTGGAATTGCTGTAATGAGCCTGAGAGGAAACCCTACGCAATGAAGATGACAGAAAATAAAGGGACTATTTGAAATCTTTGATTATATCAGCTATCTCCTGTTTATAGCATTCCCAGAGTCCTACCTTTGACTTCTAGTGGTGATGACAAATTGTTTTTTATAGTTAAACTGGTTTAAACTTGGTTTTTCTGTTACTTGCTTAAATGGTAAAGTGTCCCAAAACTGAAAGGATATATTATCCTCAGGCAATATCATCAAAGTTTAAGTTATACAAAACAAGACTTTCTCAGAGAGTCACAGGCAGTTCACTAACCACAATATGGAGCACTGCCTCCATATAAAAAATTCAGGATTCAATTGAAGATGAATAAGGAGCTATCAGAAGATCAAGTGTAATGTAACAAACACCATTCTAATATGTAAAAATAATACATTAAAATGGGCACACAACTCCTTAAATGAATGCCGTCAACCAAGTGGTGAGTTACATATATTATCCTGAGAGGAAGACATAGCCTTCCTGATCCCAGTCTCTCCACTTCAAGTCTATGTTCCATGTGTTTTAGATTTATCTGCCTTAGTAAAAGTAATGACTATGATATTTATTCTTATAATAATAAAAGATTGAATTATTTATTTTTCAAAATCTGTGTGCATTAGTATTTAGTCTTTTTTCCAAAATTATCAAAAATTAATATATTTACTATAATTTTTATAATAATACAATTATCTATAATGAAAAATAGACTATCTTCCTCTATTCCATTTCCTCCTGCACTTTACAATCTCCCAGGATTCCCCAATGTTTTTCATTCCTTCTCTAATCACATTTAACCCACATTAAATTCTTACGATATATTTTCCAAAGAATTTCTTTTTTTAAACTTTTATTACTTCACATTTCAGTACATAGTGGCTACATTCACATGGGGGAATGGGCACATGTACATGAAATATTTCAATTATTTTTTTCCTTTTCCATCCACCTTCCTCTTATTTTTCCATCATTAGATTCACTTATTAGACTTTTTAAAGTTAATTATCATAGAGAGTGAAAACCAGACTAATAGGTCAAAGAACATATAAAATAAACCACTTCCTATGATAGTAAAACAAAAAAGTTCAAATACAAATATAGGCATTTGGAAGTCTTTCTCACTTTATAACATAAGTGGATCATACCATACACATTTGTTCACAAACTACAAGTCAATATATAAAGCTATAAAACAACCATTTTATAATTATATGGTATTTTGTATCTTACATATACTATAATGTATGGAACTATTCTTCTGTTGATGGAAATTCAAGATTTTCACAGTTACTTTGTTATCATCGACAATTCTGCAATAACAAGTGAATATAGAACAATTTTTCTTTTTTGTGGCTATCTGGAATCAAACTCAGGACCTTGCTTGCCAGGCAAGTGCTGTGCTACGGAGCTATATCCCCAGCCTCAGTAAACCCCAACTTTAACAGCTTTCCTTCCTTTTATTGTCAAAATTGATTGTTCTTATTTGGCTAACAATGTGAAAATATCTCTGTTTCTCTCAATTCTGCTGAATACATCTCTTTTGAAGCTACCCGTGTTTATATAAAACATCCTTTTCAAATAAAGTAAACTGTTTTCCTTTTAAAAATATATATGTCTTAGCTTGTCTGGTCCTTCTCCCAGGTTTCATAAATTTTAGCACTCTTTTAAAATGCGTTGGTTCAAAAAGAAAAAAGAAACCTAAAAATTAACAGAGACCTTGCAAAAGGAAAACAGCAAGAACACAACATATTAAAATATGTCAGTAACATGCAGCATTGTACTCAAAGTTAAATTTATACTAATGGCAGTTTGTAATTGCAAAATCATTGATACAAATGCCCATGGAAACTGGGAGGAGATAGCTAAAATTTCAACAGACTTATGCTGTAAAACACAGACT